ATATTGAATTTAGTTCACATATTTTTTGTGTATATATTTTAAAACATAATTTTTCTTTTAAAAATTAAGCGACAAAGAGCCTAATTAAACCGATCCAAAAACAAACCGAACTGAATATAAATTGAACTGGACATAAACCACACCGAACCAGACTAAATAAGGTTTATTTCAGTTGAAAAAAAAATATTAAAACCGAAGTAAACAAACCAAACCGAAAATGTAACGATTTGCCCACCTCTACTGCATCCTAGAGATTTGTGCAAATCTTGTCTCAGCATTGAAACTCTCACTTGTTCCACTAAGTCCCACATTAGAACTCAATAGATACTTCTATCTCAACATTATACTATATTTTTATACCCGCACAGGGTGCGGGTGGGTCACCTAGTTGTAGTTAATAAAGGTGAATATTGAATTGAACTGGTTTTTAATAATTAGATAAGGTACTTAATTGTAGGGTTTTTATTGAGAAGGGAATATTTTTTTTTTTGTTTAATACAAATTGATTGGAATAAGGAAGATTAATTTGATCACGTCGACGTAAAATATGGAAAAAAGGCGAGTGAATCAAGGCGAATATCTTTAACATATCTAGTGAGTTAAGTTTAAAATTGATTTCTATCTCAAAAAATAAGTTTAAACTTGATTTTCCATTTATTATTAATAATTTCGTATTATTTATCATGTAACAATATTCTAGTTATTTGCAGAGGATATAAAATTCGCATTATTTGTATAACCTAAGTAATGCAAACAAAATATGAAACATTGGCATCGTATACAATACACAAAATGTATTGTCAAGTGTATATACACGTTGTATTAATTTGGATGAAATGCTAAAGAAGCGTGTTTGTCTTAAATTTTTAATAAAAATAGAATTAGTGTAGATTGTTGATAAAAAGTGTAAGCCACAGGAAGCCACAGGATTGGCCAAACTTCTCGACGGAACTGGAAAAGGTAGCTACCTTGCAGATTTGCTTTTTCGAGTTTCGGATTGTTTATGTGCCTAGGACTCAGAATGGTGTTTCTGATTCACTAGCTAGGACTGGTCGATCCTTTTATCAAGATTTGGTGTTTGTAGGTTGTTCTATTCCGGTCTGGATTCCCAGACCATCTCAAGTTTGAGTAATAGATCAGCCGTTCGTTGTAAAAAAAAAAAAAAAATGTAAATTGAACAGAAAAAGAGAAACAAAATTAATAAGTTACATTAGGTGAATGATTAATGGATTCTGTTAGGCCCATTAATGGTTTACGTTTAGAATAATGTGTGAAATTAGTAATTGTTAAACTATTAACACAATGACATTCACTTGTAATTTTTGAGAAAAACTAAAGGTTATTTCATTTTTGTACTTCCCCTTTAATAGTTTAGATTCTTAGAAAACCAAAGCATCTCCTATATATTATTTGAGAATCATTTAAAAAGTTGTAATCTTAAGTTTGTAATAATTAAAAATAACCCTAATCCTATGTGGCATAACTCTTTGACTTCTATTTCAAATTCCAAGGATTCTAGAGCATGTGATATAATGTATAGTCTAAATTTTATATTCTCTAGCAATATAATATTTCATAGGCTATAGTTGGTCACATATATCAAATTTATTGTTTTGCATACTTTCCTTAAATAAAACCTACGGAATTACCTAATGTGATTAAAATATATATGACAATTAATGATTTTAAACAATAAAGATTTGATAACAATCTGTATACTTTTTCTCATTTTGTTTATTTCTTTATTATTAAAATAAATTACACAATTACATTAATCATATAATAAAATCTAGAATTTTTTTTGTGTATGTTGTATTTCGAATTTTTCAAAATGAGTATAAATTACTAAAACTGTTAAAAGTCTCACATAAAATTTTAGGATCAAGGTTTTAATTATTTTCTATATTAAATATAACGATTATAAGACCATATGAAGAAATAATTTTAATTTATATATACTTCATATCGTTTTAATTAAACTATACATCGTATGAAAATACATACTTATATTTTGATATTTGCATTGAACATATATTGAAAAGTTAATATTTTAATTTTGAAATATGTCATTATTTTTTTAAAATTATTATAAATTATTGAAGCTACTAAACATCTCACATTAAAAAAATTCGTTGGCGTACAGTTTTGTTACACAAATATGCAAATAATCATAAAATCATATGAGTAGAAACCTCATTTAATAAATATTTATGTTAAAAGTTGCTATATTAATATGTTTATATCATTTATATTTAATTATATATCATATACAATATATAAGATTGATTATTTTGATTTATTTACCCTAATCGCAAATAAACAAGAGTGATAGTTAAATTTATATGCATACGCCAATTTATTACATAATAGTAACTGATTTCTTTGTTATTTAATATATATATTTATTATTTTAAAATATGCAGAAAAATATAAAATAAATATAAAATATAAAAGATTTATTGTGCATAAAGTGCAAATCTTAAACTAAGTATTTATCTCTTTAATTGTTTTAAATCTTAAGTATTTTCTAAATCACAGGTCAAAAAACAAACGAAATGAGAATAAACTGTAAAATAAATATTTATATCGAGTAATAACCAAAATAAATAAAAACACAACAAGAGAAAAAATTGAAGATAAATAGGATTGACACGTGAACGTGAACGTTAACTTCTCATAACCGTTAGTTTTTAAATTTTTAAATCAGGATATAAAACTGAGTTAATGTTTAATTTTTTAATTTTTCAATTTTTTAAATCATTATGATTATGTTAAATCATGACCATAATTAATTTTAAATATTTTATTTGTATTTGAAGAACTTAAAATATTGTTTGTAAAAATAATTTAAAATTTAACTAAATTTTTTATAATTTTTTTTTTAAATTGTAAAAAAATAGAATTTTCTAATAATATTAGACAAATAAATAAATTAGATCAAATTAGTTTTAAAACTTATATATTTTAAATGCAAATATTTACCAACTGCTTCTTAAGAAAACATTAGAAAAATTGCTAATACTCTACCAATCAAGTCCAGTGACACTTTGTTTATTTTCTATCACTCGAACACTGAAAAGTGAAAAGATATATGAAGCCGGGTCTATTAAATTTTAAGCTTTGATCTACAGTTCTAATTACAATTGTTTCTGATCCTATGTATAGATAATTATATAAAAATTCTAAAATTCTAAAAATTTTAATACATATAAAAACAACTATATGTAAATTTTAAATTTGTCAATACTAAAATTTTATATTTTAATTACATATATTTACCATGCGCAAGGCGTAAGTCTTATCCTAGTTGGTAAATTATTCAAAGCGGTTTTGATTGATATACTAAACGGTGGATTTGTGTGTTTGTAACATCAAAACGCACATTGATTAAGTTCCCATGTTTAGAAAATGCTTTATATATCTACGATGAACATTAAAATCTCTTATATATTAATCCTGAAGCATTCATAAATGTACAACCTTGGAGAGCATGCTTACGTGTCAAACTCACAGCTTCTCAGCTTTAATTTTTTAATGGACCAACTTTGTTAGGAATAAAATAATGTAACATTTAATTTCTTACATTTAGAACTATAATATATATACATTTTTAAGGGACCAACTCTGCTAGGTATAAAACAATATATTTTATTTCCTTAAATAAAAGCTACGGAATTACCTAATATGATTAACATATATATGTAATTAGTGATTATGAATAATACATATTTTTGTATCCTCTCTCTTTTTTGTTTAATTTTAAATTATTAAAATAAATTAAACAATCACATTTAAATATATAATAAAAAATTAAATTTTTTCTTATAGGTTAGATTTTTAAATTTTTTAAACGACCATAAATAACTAAAAATAGTAAAATCCCACATTGAAAATTTTATGATCAATGGTTTAACTTTGTTTTTTTTCTAAAGAAGATACAAATTATCATAAATCGTACGAATATGAAGTATCATTAGTAGATCTTCATACTATAAATATGTTAATTTAAAAATTTCAGTGAAAAGGTTTGAGGTTAGTAGATACAAATTATAGTATACAAAAGATTTTTGTAGTTTGTTCTATTTGCTTCTTCTTTTTTAATATCTGTTAGTTTGTTTAGATAATTTAACTAATTTTAAATTAGATTTATTAATAGTTTAAATATTTTGATTTTTTTGTCAACTTTTAATGTTTAACAAATATTTTTTGGGATGATTTCAGATATTGGTTACAATCCAATCCAAACTGAATTGAGAAGATCAAATCGAATCCAATCCGATAATTAGTAAAATTCAAATAGGATTTATGATAAAAATACCAAAATCTGAAAATACGTGTCAATCAAACTAAAACCGACGAAGTCTCAAACGTCCAGACCTATGATGATTTAAGATACCAACATTTACATTCATCATTTTATAATCGATAAATACTGTATAGTATTGCAAAATGTTAAAAACCACTTAATGAATAAATATAAGTATGAAAATTTCACCCCGCACATGCGCGCGGGTTATCATCTAGTTATAGTTTAAGACATAGACCTTTACATACTAGTCATATCTTATACAATAAAGTTGACTATTCTCCCTTCTTAGGGTGTCCACCTTAGCTTTTGTGAGGGGGGCAAAAAAGACACCTCAGCAATCATTTTTTTAAATTAAACCCACAAAAATTTTCAATCCCGTGTTGGTCTAAATTGGTTTTGCTGTCTTGGTTTGATGTTTGGTGATGGGCTTGGTTTAGGATGGCCTATAAGCCCAAATTTGAAAGCCTTACGTGAAGGTCTTTTTCTACAGTCCTATTAAATTAAAAACACGCAATTTAAGCGATCGAAAAAAATGTAACATTATATGTAATTATTATCCAATATTTTGTATTCAAACACCATAACTACGAAAATATTCTTCTTCCACAAACCTCACCCAAACTCTCTATATAACAAACGCAAAACATAGAAAGAAATCACCAGAAAAATATACCAAATTGGCAGATTCGTAATGCAACGCCGCACAAGAACTCTCGCTCAAATCGAGCTCCTCCCGACAGAACTCCAACAAGAAATAATGTCACGGGCTGCTAAGTTCTCAATCGATGCCCTACGCAACCTCATTATAGCATCCCCTACTCTAGCCGACGTTGCCGCAGATCCACACATATACAAGAACATCAATCTCCACACCCTCACAATCTTTCCTCTCACAACCCTAACCATCTACAAAGATCTGATGGAACGATGCCTTAACGCCGGTAACGTCCAAGCTCACTACATACGCGGGTTACAAGAATATTTCCACCACAACAACATCGCCGCTGGTTTGCCTCATATCAAAATCGCTGCAGAAGGTTTGTACGACAACGCCATATACCTTTATGCTCTAATAATGATGTGTAGTGGACAACAAGAAATAGGAAGAACGATGCTCGATTCACTCGGATAGAGAACCAACAAGAAACGTGCCGACACCTGCTGGAGAAACATTAAGAAGTCACTTCATGGCGTCCAAGTTATAACTCTAGACGCCACTATGGACGCTTACAGAGAGGCTAGAGAACCAATCACATGTCACCGATACCAGATGCGGGTTCGATGTGAGCACTGCTACTATTACAAGCAAATCTACAAATTTACTTTCACAGTTTAGTAATGTCATCTTTTCCCAATGCTATCATTTCCCTTTTCCCATATTTAAGCAACTACTATTTTTTTCCTACAATACGCGTTTAAAAGACTACGAAACGAGGTTGAAACTCTAAAACCCTACAATATTAACCACCAATTTCACCATTAAAAAATATTCAAACAAACAAAAAAAATACCAACTAAACAATAATTGAAAAAACAAATCTACAAGACTATAAACATTTAAGGTCAATCATTCAGAAACATCTATAACTAAAGAATTAAGAACATTGTCATACACAAAATAAAAGAAAAAAAAATAACCAAACAAAACAATAAATTTAAAATTAAAAGCAATAAAAATACTACGTCAACAACGTCGCTGAAACTGAGAGAAATTCGCAGAAGTAGGCTTCCGTCAATACGATTACATCGAATACATTACAAACAACAGTTGCATAATACGAGAACATTACAAAATGAGATTTTTAATAGTTTTAAAAAACATCAAAACCAAAAATATTATATTGACCCCACACCCATTCAAACGTTTGGAGAAAAAAATTAAACTTTAAGAAATACGTAATAATAGAGGAGATTAAATTTAAACACAAACAGCGTAATTTCAAATAAAAAACAGCAGCAAATATGAGGATGCATTAAAAACGATAATGTTGATGCTCTTTAACACAAATCTTCCTCAAAACAGAAACACAGGAAATTAATAGCATGAAATACACAGGTATAAATTACTAATCAAAGTAAATTATAAATATTAAAGACTAGCAAAATCATAAGGAACATAAATAATAAATAGTAACAAAAACCACCCAGCGTACGTGTAACGGTACATCAGAAATAATAACAATAAAAGCACATACAAATTCAACGCAAGATTATGCCTTATAATAAATTTATATAAAAAACGTAAACAAATTCACTCGCAGAGCCACCACCACCGTCCTATATAAACAACTGCAGAACACACAGAAACTAAGAACGACATCGTCAACAGAAAAAAAAAAAACCAAAAAACATTTTCCGACCATTTCCATGACTCACGAACAACAAAATCCCCTCACCCTTGAATCAATACCCAAAGACATGCGTCTCCTAATTGTTTCCAAAGTTGGCCACGACTCTCCCACCGACTATGTCAACACAATTATGACATCCAAAAGCCTCAGCTTCAGTTCTGAAAACTTCATAGTTGCAAAGAATCTAAACCTCTCATCTTTGGTGAAGAAGCCTCCTCTAGCTCATCGTTACCCAAATTTCCTGCAAAACTGCCTCAACGCTAACAATGCCGACGCTCACTATGTTAAAGGCATGCTAGAATTCTTCAACTCTCACAATCAGTCTCTAGGCCTACATTACATCCACATACCCTCAACTGGTGGTCACCTCCAAGGAAGATAAGTTTACGGCGTCCTCCTTATGGTCATCGGAGAAACTGACAAAGGAGTAAAAACCATTAACAAACTCGCTGATAAGCAAGGTATTCCACTGCTAGAAGATTGCATGGCAACTTTTCATAATTCTCTTCAGCACACCCAGTTTGAAATGAAGGATATCTTCCTTACGTCACTAAAAAAAATGTTCCCACCCCATAACTGCCATCCCCAACTGGGGACAGATATCACGGTTTGCTCGAACTGTTTCCACTTTTTTTGGTCACCGAGTTCTGCAGAAGGATAATGGGTTTTAGTGATCTATTTGACTAAAAGAAGACTTCGGCTTTTGTTTACCTGCTCAATTTGATTTATTTATGTACAATTTTTCTTTACGAATAATTGGTTACACTTTGTTTTCACATAAATTTTAAGCGGAAAAACTATAAAAGCTATTTTCTCTTTTCCATGATCCTGATACAATAAAACTTTTACATTGAAATAATGATATCTACGAGTCTAGAATTTTAACTTAAAGTCCAAATGGTAAACATCTAACCATTATGCCATCACTTTGATATCATAATCCACCATTCTCATAAACAAACCACATTCAAAAATATAAGATTACCCACCAACAAATAAATTTTAAATTTAAATTAATAAAAATATCCAACAACCCGCGCGCAGCGCGGGCAGACCACTAGTTTACAATATAAATTGTCTATAAGAACACCCGCTTTTCACATACAACATAAACTAGTAATTCAATTAGTCTCATTCAATGTTTAAGAATTCGCTAGGCGCTAGTCGGGCGCTCGACTTGGGCCAAGCGCCTAGAAAATAAATCGGAGATTAATCGGGGATTAATCGGAGATTTATTTTAATCATAGTGTTTTTCTTTTCAATTAAATCTATCTATATTAATATCTCTTTCAATATGTTCATGAGTATTAATATGGTCTGATGGTAAGTGTAACTGTTTTTGGCTATTCGTTCCAGGGTTCGACCCTCGGGTTTGTAGTTTTTTTGTTATTTTTAGTGATTCTCTAGTTAGAGAGTCCCACATCGCTAAACTTTTATAGTGCTCACTACAGAATCATCTATAAATAAGAAGATATGATACCACTGTTATTTTAAAATCAAACAGGCTGCGTTTTATCTTGGGTCCATATATTTTTTTGGGCCTGAAATAATTAGTTTTGTGTTATAAATCGGTTGTTCATCCGATTAATAACGCCTAATAGTATTAAGCGGCCGATTTATTGTCAAGCGATTTTATGAGCCGAGTTGGCTAAAATCGCGGCGTTTGGTCTCCGACCAGCGTTTAGACGGCAGCAAACGCGGTAATTCGGCCGCGTTTTTGAACAGAGGTCTCATTATACAACTAGTGATAGTGATTAAAATAATAAAATATATTCAATGCATTAAGAAATAAGAACGCACTAAACACAGGGAATTTATTGCTAAGATTTATAAATTCAATTCTAGTATCTTATCTCTTTTATAGCAAAGAAAAGCCAAATCAGCCACCGGTTTTCAAATAAACCAATGGAACTTTGGCCTAATGTAATGTCTTCGCCCACTTTGCTTTTTTTTTTTTTCACTAGGTGTTTTGCCCGCACTTGCGGGCTTAATAATTTTACTAATATCTATAAATAAATATATAATCAAATTATGTAAATTATAATAAATTATTGTTCATAGACTCAAAATATTTAATAATAAACTAAACAAATTCTTTTTATTTATAAAATTTTCCTCATCATATAAATAATTTTCATTACACAACTTATATTTGAAAATACTCATAAACTTAAAACATTTAGTAATAAATTAATATCGTTTTTAGACATTAAAAAAGTATAAAAAATTATGTTTAATAATTTTTTGGATAACACAATATAAATAATCTATACATAAATTCTTTGCAAATTGATTTTTCATAATTAACTATATATTAACAAATAGAATTATTTTTTCAACGTTAATAAAGACTTTATAACACAATATAAAAAAGTTAGATAAAGATAATTATCAAATTCATGAGATTCATTTTTAAATTTAGAATTAATTATATGTTAACAAATATAATTATTTTTCAAGGTTGNATAATTAACTATATATTAACAAATAGAATTATTTTTTCAACGTTAATAAAGACTTTATAACACAATATAAAAAAGTTAGATAAAGATAATTATCAAATTCATGAGATTCATTTTTAAATTTAGAATTAATTATATGTTAACAAATATAATTATTTTTCAAGGTTGATAAAGACTTTATCACATAATATAAAAAATAAGGCTAATTATCAAATAAATGAAATTCGATTTGAATTTATAATTAATTATATATTAACTAATATAATTATTTTTCAAGGTTAATAAAAACTTTATAACCCAATATAAAATAGTTTTAGATAAAGATAAATCTAAAATCATTGAAATTCGTATTTTAATTCTCATTATTTATTAAGGGTATAAACGATATTAACCGTTCTAACTTTCAACGTGAGAGCTTTCTTGTAAAAAATCATTCACAAATAATAGTATAGATTACGTAAATCACAGAAAGTTACAAATTAATCAGCAAACTCACTTAAATTTTATAATTAAAAAATATATTTTTAAGATAACAATCTAATACAAAAGAATTAACATATTTTCAAAAAATATAATATTATTAACATAAATCCTTTTTATTTTATTTTATAATAAATTATTAAAATATGAAATAAGCAAAATAACCTAAAATCATGGAGAAGTTGACAACTACGTAAATTTTACTTCTAAAATAATAATTGAATAATATATTTTTAAGATAACAATCTAATACAAAATAATTAACATATTTTCTAAAATATTATATTATTAACATAAATTCGTTTTTATTATATACTAAATTATTAAAACATGAAAATAAGTAAAATAACCTAAAATCATGGAGAAGTTGACAACTAAGCAAATTTACTTATAACAAATTATTAAAATATGAAAATAAGCAAAATAAGCTAAAATCATGGAAAAGTTGACAACTAAGTAAATTTTTACTTCTAAAATAATAATTGAATAATATATTTTTTAAGATAACAATCTAATACAAAACAATTAACATATTTTCTAAAAATATTATAATATTTTCTAAAAATATTATATTATTAACATAAATTCGTTTTTATTATATACTAAATTATTAAAACATGAAAATAAGTAAAATATTAAAACATAAAATAAGTAAAATAAACTAAAATCATGGAGAAATTGACAACTAAGCAAATTTACTTATCAAATAATGTTATAGATTCTCAAAGATAAAAACAATTTTAAATACATTCAACTTACGATATCTGAATGCGAAGTTTCACCAATCCACTTGTTATATTATATGCTTTGTGTATATAAATATACACACGAGTGTGTGTTGTTATAGACTCAAACAATATCTTCTTTTGTTCCATCAACAACAAGAATCTGTCCAGTGCTTTCCTTTCCCTTATTTGCTTAATTAATGGAGTTTGTGGTTTCTAAGCGAATCCAACCTGAGGAAGTAAAAGAGCGTTTAAAAGAGGAACAAGTGTCGAAGGAGCTACATCTTAAATCGTCTGAAACGCAGACGCTGAACAAAAGAGCCGTACTCAACCGCATCCGCAACCACCAATGTATTCACAAAATCAAGAGTCTCCTTTATACTACCACTCCTAATAGCGTATCCACCGTCGACGCTGAGGACCGATGGATTGATAGTGGCGATGTTTTTTCTTGTCCTTAAACTAGACAGAGACTTTAGCACGTGTAAGTGTATGTTTGTCTCCACATGTATCCAAATTAATTCAAGTTTGTCTTAAATGAAATTTTGTAATGATCATATCATAAAGTTATGTTAACGATGAAGTGATATAATGATCACTAGCGATTCTACAAAGGAGATTGGTACTTATGCAATGCTTAAATTGGGTCATTAATGACTGGTACTTATTAAAGACACTCAAGCCAATCTTGAGAGTTAAGAGATTATTGATCATCACCAGAATGAAACCGGACAAGTACCCTTCCTTGCACACACAAAACCACGTAATCATCAAAAGGAACTACAAGTCTACAACTACAAGTGTTGATCATCATCAAAAGAAACTACTACTCTCTCCATAGACAAGCTATTGTTCTCATAAAACAGACGAAGTGGTAGGCGTAGAAGACAAGAGCCTTCTTCGTTTGAAGTTAGCTTTAAAACAAGCCTGTCTCAACCTCTTGGTCTTATCTTCAAACTCCAAATCAGGAAACTCTTCAATCATTTTCTTCTCCGCTTCCAAAATCTCCAAAGCGTTCATCAGCTTACTCCTCTTCCTTTCTCCTTCCATATTCCCTAAGTGATCCTTTCAATAAAGACCATAACATATAAGTGTAACCGTAACATGTATAAACAAGTCCATTAATTGTACATATATTATATTAGGGGTGGGCGTTCGGGTACCCGTTCGGGTTCGGATCGGGTATTTCGGGTTTTCGGGTATTTCGGTATTGGGGTTTAGAACCCGTTCGGGTATTTTTACATATCGGGTCGGGTTCGGATATTTTTACTTCGGGTTCGGTTATTTCGGGTCGGGTTCGGATATTTAGATTTTGGAAGAAAAATTTTAAATTCTTAATTACTTAAGTTTCATGTATTTAAAATTTAACTATTAACTTAACTGTTTTTTAAATGTTTAATAAGTTAGACGATTAATAAGTTTGAAAGTAAATTATTAAAAATAAAAATCATTATTTTGGTTATTATTTGCGAATTTTGAATGCAAATTTTGTTTAAAGTATGAAATAAGCAGCTTAACATGCATTTTAAATGAGTAACAAATCAATTTTTTTTTACAATTATATGTATATTATCTGATATTAAACTATATATAACATTAATATAAATAGTTTTAATAAAATGAGACAAAATAAACTAGGAATAAATAGGTATATATACATATATTCGGTTATCTTCGGATACCCGTTCGGGTTCGGGTATTACCCGTTCGGGTTCGGATATCCAAACTCTCCTAACTCAATACCCGTTCGGGTATTTTGCTACTTCGGTTCGGATTTCGGTTCGGATATTTCGGGTCGAGTTCGGGTATCGGATAAAGTGCCCACCCCTATATTATATAATAAAAATGCATGTGTGTTTGAATGTACCTTGAGGTTATTAATAATGCCGTCAATGCTCGTAAGCTTACGGTGAGGCCAACGAGGAAAACCCAACTCACGACATCTCTTTTTCAAGAGGGTTAGTCCAACATTAAGCTCTTTAGCGGCTTTAGTTATCGGCATCTTGAAGTATGGTTTCATATCTTCCCTTGAAAAACTCTGGATTAGTTTATCTTCTCTGTATCCCCGCTTCTGCCGTGTGGTCTCTTTTGTTGTGTTATTGCCATCATGCAATATTATCCCCATCTCTGGTTCGATATGACGATTATTGAAATTACTAGTATTTCCATTCCACAATTCACCCAAAACATCTGCTACACGACAAATGATTAGTATAATAATTCCCAAACATGCATGTACGTATAAACATATATGAAGAAATATAGTATACCTTGGGACAAAGTAGAGATGGCTTCAGGACCAACTGATGCCATAGACATATGATCACAAGCAGAGATGGGATCAAGGTTAGTGCTGTCTGGTAAAGAAAACCAACTTTCATTTTGAAAATCATTAAAAGGGTTAATGAACGAACTGCAAAAACTCAAACAACCAAAAAGCGCATATTAGATTTAACTTATAATGTAAACAAATCAACCTTTATTAATTTATGGTGTAACACGCTTATGACTTACTTGTAATCGAAGGAAAGTGATTGATCGAGGAATGAAAATAAGTTCTCTTCTTCAAGGAATGATTCATAGACGTCGTTGGACTCTGACCAGCTCCTCAGAAGTTTATGGTCATCCATTTGTAGAAACGTTTTTCTAAGTGATGGATGAAAATGAATCGTGTGTTTATATATTTATTTGGAATGTATAAACATTTAACTTATATGTATAGATGGAGGAGTGGGAAGTGGTGTATTTACTTCTCGGAGATGGTGAGGCCGTCATAAATCATTTGATGTTTTCTGTAAGTTACGAGAGAGGTTACTAGGGGTGGGCACTTTACCCGATACCCGAACTCGTACCCGAACCCGACCCGAAATATCCGAACCGAAATCCGAACCGAAGTAGCAAAATATCCGAACGGGTATTGAGTTAGGAGAGTTTGGATATCCGAACCCGAACGGGTAATACCCGAACCCGAACGGATAATACCCGAACCCGAACGGGTAATACCCGAACCCGAACGGGTATCCGAAGATAACCGAACATCTATATATCTACCTATTTATTCTTAGTTTATTTGTCTCATTTTATTAAAAATATCTATATTAATTTTATATATAGTTTAAGATCAGATAATATACATATAATTGTAAAAAAAAAATTGATTTGTTACTCATTTAAAATGCATATTAAGCTTCTTATTTCATATTTTAACAAAATTTGCATCCAAAATTCGAAAATAGCAACCAAAATAATGATTTTTATTTTCAATAATTTATTTTCAAACTTATTAATCGTCCAACTTATTAAACATTTAAAAAGAGTTAAGTTGATAGTTAAATTTATAAATACATGAAACTTAAGTAATGAAGAATTTGAATTTTTTTTTTCAAAATCTAAATATCCGAACCCGAACCGAAATAACCGAACCCGAACTAAAAATATCCGAACCTGACCCGATATGTAAAAATGCCCGAACGGGTCCTAAACCCCAATACCGAAATAGCCGAAAACCCGAAATACCTGACCCGAACCCGAACGGGTACCCGAACGCCCACCCAAGGTTACTGTAGAAATTAATGATTACAGTTAATTGTTTCGGATAATAGGGAAAAGTATTTGGTTAATGCTGATTATATCTACTAATAATAGGCCCCAAGTTGTAAACGTTCGAGAATTGATTATGCTTACGTTCCCCATCCCATCACATGCAACTTGAGTTCATGATATCTTGCTTGTTTGTCATCTTCAAAAACCTTTTAACTTTTTTTCAAAAGTAATCATGAAAATCATTTCACTATATATATTGGCGTGGGTATATATATATATATATATATATATATATATATATATATATATGTGTATATAGATCGTATTAGTTTGTAGCTAAGTAAATTTTTGTTAGAGAAGCATATAAAGAGTACACAAATGATACTGGTAATTACATTAATGTCACCGTCGGTTAACTTAAGTGTCAAGCTGCCTGAAGCAATTTACCGTTACCCTTCTCAACCCTTCTGTTCAACTTAGGAGTTGTCCTGATCACCTTGACCTTAAACGCCGCCTGATAAAGAACCAAACCGGATTTTTTCAGAACCAAAAAGCTCCGGTTAAAAAACTACTAAACCAAGATATGGTCGTCAGTGTCTCTCACCTTCTTGTCTGAACCAAACTCGATGACATCAGACGGTCTAAACCGAGCAGGGAAGTTTGGTGTCACTCTATATCTTCTTCCTAAGTTACTGGTTAGCAATATTTCAAATAATGTTGGATCAAAACCTTCACAGACTTAAAAAGAGATAAAACCAAAGCTCTGTTGACTTACTCGATCACATAATTAAGTCCCATGTTCACTTCGAAGATCCATCAAGAAGAAAGCTCCATCTTTGTAGATTACACGTGCATGCATCTTCGATACCTAAACCAAACATTTAACAGGAAATTTATGTTTCTTGACTAGTCTCTGAAGCTTCTCAGATCACACTATTAGTTACCTGAGGGGAAGGGATCACAATGTGCGTTCCAGGAATATCTTGGTCTGGTTTACTCCTGCAGTAAAAAGAAAAGGTTTCTCAAGTTTCAAAACTTTGAAGAACCTAAGCTGAGATATTGATGAGCTATGTGTTTGTTTCAATACCCGATAATGCATGGTTGCTCCTCAGATTTGGTTAGACATAATCTTTCCGAAACGCTACACTTGTTGCCATATGAAACAAGATACCACTCTCCATTTATAGTACGTTCAAGAGCCTCGTCATCTTCAAACCACTCACGAAGGCGGTCATCAGCCTTTCAAACAAAAGATTTACACTTTGATATTAATCACTAAAATGGGTTTATTCAAGTTTCAATGGAGAACAAGAAAAGAAACATACTCTGTCAGTGAGTCTGCAATGTTGAAATGTGAGTATTTAGAGACTGGTTTGTTTGAGAAGAAGGAAGAACAACAAGAACAGAGGAGAGAAGGTAGTATTTTTGTGAGAGAGAGAAGAGAGGAGAGAGATACACAAGAGAATTTTGAGGGAAACTGTTTCCTTGACTTTTTAGGTTGCTTACAACATGTATTTAAAGTCAAATCAGGCTTACAAGGACAGGAGATTTAATATATAAAACTCAACCCACTTGCACCTGCTTTGTCCAGAACTCCCAACGGTCTTCTCCTCTCAAACCAATTGAAACCAATTGTAACCTTCTCAAACCAAGTGTAACCTTCACCATTCGAATAATTA